TTGAACTTTTTGGCAATAATTCTAAGCGGTATGTGTGGAGAAAACCAGACACTGCTCATCACTATGGGAAATAGGATTCTCTGGTCTGATGAGACGAAGATTGAACTTTTTGGCAATAATTCTAAGCGGTATGTGTGGATAAAACCAGGCACTGCTCATCACCTGTCCAATACAGTCCCAACAGTGAAACATGGTGGTGGCAGCATCATGCTATGGGGGTGTTTTTCAGCTGCAGGAACAGGACGACTGGTTGCAATTGAAGGAAAGATGAATGTGGCCAAGTACAGAGATATCCTGGAAGAAAACCTCTTCCAGAGTGCTCAGGACCTCAGACTGGGCCGAAGGTTCACCTTCCAACAAGACAATGACCCTAAGCACATAGCTAAAATAACCAAGGAGTGGCTTTGGGACAACCCTGCGACCATTCTTGACTGGCCCAGCCAGAACCCTGACCTAAACTCAATTGAGCATCTCTGGAGAGACCTGAAAATGGCTGTCCACCAACATTCACCATCCAACCTGACGGAACTGGTGAGGATCTGCAAGGAAGAATGGCAGAGGACCCCCAAATCCAGGTGTGAAAAACTTGGCTGTACTAGCTCAAAAGCGTGCTTCTACTCAATACTGAGCAAAGGGTCTGAATACTTATGACCATGTGATATTTCAGTTTTTCTTTTGTAATAAATTTGCAAAAATGTCTACATTCCTGTTTTTTTCTGTCAATATGGGGTTCTGAGTGTACATTAATGAGAAATAAAATGAACTTTTTTGATTTTAGAAAATGGCTGCAATGAAACAAAGAGTGACAAATTTAAAAGGGTCTGAATACTTTCCGTACCCACTGTGTGTATATATATATACACATATATATATATGTATATGTATGTATATAAGTTGCTACACAGATTTGAGTGCGTACCCTAAAATCAATGTTTTCCAACCTTGGTGTCGCGACAACTTGTGGAGTTGTCTGAACTGTAATTGATAAAAAAAATTACTAATCAAAACAATTGAACTTATTACTATTATTGCTTCTTTTTATAATTATGATTAAAAACACCACACACTATCTTAAACAACTGTACATTTTCACTCTGTATGTGCAACACAGCATAACAAACATGATAACACTAATTCTAGAGGGGAAAAAATGGCTCAGGAGTTGTCAGAAATGTCTCACTGTTGCTGAGCTCCAGAGATGCAGTGGGGAGATGGGAGAAAGTT